ATTTTTTAAAAGCTTCCTCTCCAGAATATGGTACTGTGTGTTCAATAAATCAGTTTAATGAAACTTTATATGCCCTAATCTGCTAAATATGCTGAGAGATAATAATGGGAATCACAATCGCCTCACAGCAAGATGGTCACTGGTTCGAGCCCCGGCTGGGTCAGTTGGCATTTCTGTGTGGAGTTTGCATGTTCTCCCTGCATTCACGTGTGTTTCCACCGGGTGCTCTGGTTTCCCCCACAAGTCCAAAGACATGCGGTACAGGTGAACTGAATAAACTAAATTGGCCATGGTACATGTGTGCTGGATAATTTGTTGGTTCATTCCACTGTGGCGAGTCAACCTCTCATTAATAAAGGGACTATAAGCCAAAAAGAGAATGAATGAATGAATGAATGAATAAACAGTTCAAGTCTTTAGTTTGAAGTTTTTATGTGACCTCCATCAGATAAAGCCTACACACTGTCGTGTTGTGCCACAGTTAATTTTAATGCAACAAGGAACTCAGGGTACAGTTGAGGACAAAATTATAAAACCTCCTCTGAACTGTTTATTTAATTTGTGAACTTTTTACTTTTTCAAATATTTCTCAACAATTTTATGGAGTGATTTTCTATAATAGTTTTTTTTTTTTTTTTGCTTAAGGAGAAAGTCTTATTTTGCTTTTTTTGGGCTTGTATAAAATCAGATTAAAATCGTTTCAGAACAACTTTAAGGTCAATATTTTAAAGATTTTTTTTTTAATCAATTGTCTTGTACAATAACTTGCCTAGTTAACTGAGTTAAGCCTAGTTAAGAAAACTTTAAGCTCAGCTTGCTGTCTAAAGTCAAACATTTCTTAAATCCCACCACACTGTGGCTGTCCACGCTTTTATTGCGTCACATTTAGACTCCTGCAATGCACTTTACTGTGGCATCTCAAAATCACAAATTTCTCGCCTTCAGTTGGTCCAAAATGCTGCTGTTAGATTCATTTGTACAGTAATAGTAGTAAACACATCCCCTCTTCTAAGGAGCCTCCATTGGCTGCCCATCCAATTCAGAATTGATTTGCTGGTATATAAATCCGCTCATAATCTAGCCCCAATCTATCTCTCAGAGCTGTTGCATTTTTTAACACCTGTAAGATCTCTTAGATCAAGTAATCAAAATCTTCTTTTAGTTCATCAGTCCAGACTGAAACATTGAGGGGTCAGAGCTTTCTCTGTGGCAGGTCAGCGGTTATGAAACACTTTGCCCCTTGAGATTAGACTCCTGAACATGTACCTATTTAGCTTATCTTTTTAATATTATTTTTATAGTCCTTTCTACTGCTTAATTTTTAAATGTATTCAGTCGTTTCTCTTGGCTTACTTTTTATTTTACTTTGTCTTATGTACAGCACTTTAGTCAGCCTTGTGGCTGTTTTTAATTGTGCTTTATAAATAGTTAAACTTAAATACTAGTACAGTGACTCATGCTTATATATATATATATATATATATATATATATATATATATATATATATATATATATATATATATATATATATAAATCTGCTAATATAAAACCCTTTAAATTTTGCGATCTATATTCCATAATCATAAATCCTGTATAGCAGTCCCACAACATTCTTACACTTGATGACACTCAAATACCCTGTCAGTAATGTCTAGTGGCTGGGAATGGGCTTTTTACAGTGTCTGCTATAATGTTAATGTTGTTTTTGGTGAATATGGCCACTGTGTTAAATGCACAGTATTATGATCTTATTGCCACATTAGGTCATTATGTTAACATAAAATATGCCTTCAGTGATTTCCTGAAAATAAATACCAAAAAAAAAAAAATAGCACAACTGGAGTAACTACAGCAGTCGCGATCGTCGGTCTTATATGAAGCAAGAGATCGCAATGACATATGGTAATGTGTGCAGGTGCTGTAGTCCTGTCTCAATTCTTAGGGGTATATTTGAAGCCCTTCCCCTTCACCCTCGGTTGTAAGAGCCAAGAGGAAGGGGAAGGAATAGGGGTACAAAAATAGAATTGGGATTGGGCCTTAGTGTAAATGCGAAACATTTAAATCTTTCTGCAGTGGGGTGTATAAACTGTTAAAAGGACATGCCACTATTGTATATTTTGGTTTTCTTTGTATTTTTCCATAAGACGTGTGTGCTGCAGATCTGTCGCAGAAGTCGTCCGCTGGGAAACATCTTGTCGGAAACATGAAAGGGCACACAGAGCATGTAAAGACCGAAAGCTGCAACAGCAAACACATCAATGGCTATAAAAGTGTCACCCAGATTGACAGCGAGCTCTGTTTACCACAGATCGTGCGTCATGTGCTCATGAACGGAAACCATGGTGGAACCAAGGCGCGTGAATGGGGAACAAAGCCAAAATGGATTTTATGAAATTGCTTGTCACTGAATGAAAACACCTGTTTAAGACAGTCCTCTCCCAGGATGCCTGTTGCTGCCGTTGTCAACGCTGAAAACCAACACTTGAATCTGAGCCGTTTTTATGTGCTGAAAAGTTGATGCGACAAGCTTAAATGCTGCTTTTTGGTATTCCGCTGCAGTGGGATGAAGAAAGAGATCAATGTTCCTTCAATGCTCTGACAGCAGTGCTGTGAAACAAAAAAAAAAGAACTTAAGAAACTTCAATACTTCATTCTTGAGAAAGTGAGACTTTTTTAAAAAGTGAGGGGAACAAATATACCTTGAAAACAGGATCAATCTTCCATGTCTCTTAGGACTAGAATCCCACTTGAACACCATGTAAAAGTACAATGAATGAATGCGAAGCAATTTTGTCTCCACATAATTGCAAACTTGTGTAAGTTTCACACAAACCCAACATTACAGAGATGGACAGGAAAATAAAAAGATTATTCTATGCATTAAATGATACAATAATTATGGTATTTCAGGTCAGTTTAAATAAGAAGGTTGAACAAAGCAAATATAATTTTTTTGAGTGAATGTACAGACGAACCAAAAAAAAAAAATGAAAAAATTCCAAAATATGTTATATTACTTATATGTTATTTCTAAAAAAATTATATCAATAAATTAATAATATAAGTAATCACAATGCTGTGTATAATACAGAAACTGAACCAACTAAAAAACAAAAAATAATTGAATGTAATGCAATTTCATATAAATATGATTTTACAACAATTTATAATTGTTTATATTTTACAAAAATTCATGTAAAATGGACCAGGGATAATATATATCAGATATTTTATTATTTAAAAATTAATATACTTATAAATATATAGGTAGATATAAATATATTCAACTATATAAATATATAGTTGAAGTCAGAATTATTAGCCCCCTTTGGATTTTTTTTTTTTTCCTAAATGATGTTTAACAAAGCAAGGAAATGTTCACAGCATGTCTGATAATATTTTTTCCTTTGGAAAAAAGTCTTATTTGTTTTATTTCAGATGGGATAAAAGCAGTTTTTAATTTTTTTAAACACCATTTTAAGGTCAAAGTTATTAGCCCCTTTAAGCTATTTTTTGATAGTCTACAGAACAAACCATCGTTATACAATAACTTGCCTAATTACCCTAACCTGCCTAGTTAACCTAATTAACCTAGTTAAGTCTTTAAATACCAGTTTAAGCTGTATAGAAGTGTCTTGAAAAAAATCTAGTCAAACATTATGTACTGTCATCATGGCAAAGATGAAATAAATCAGTTATTCGAAATGAGTTATTAAAACTATTATGTTTAGAAATTTGTTGAAAAAATCTTCTATCCGTTAAACAGAAATCGAGGAAAAAATAAACAGAGGGGCGAATAATTCAGGGGGATTAAAAACTATAAACATAATATTTTAAATCAAATAAATTGTCAAATGCTAAAGAGAATGAGAACAGTATCATATAGGCTTGCATGTTAATCACAGATTTATTTTGGCTGCTTTACCACACAATATGCCAACACACTAGCTGTGTAAGCCTGCTCTTTATCCTGATGCCATTCATGATCTCATGCTTCCAAGGGTGTGGAGCATCACTGAGCATGTGCAAACTCCAAAAAATATGAGCTCATACAGACACCCACAATGAAACATTCAGCACAAACAAAATGCGGTTTCCTCACCGGGCAGGCAAACATCATATAAGACAAATCATCTATAAGCAATCATATATACGTACCACAATTTAGGACTGGGATATGACAAAATTCATATATCTCGAAATAAATAATCAACAGTTAAAGTCAGAATTATTAGTCCCTCTAAATTATTACCAGGTTATTGTATATTAGGCAGGTTATTGTATAACGATTGTTTGTTCTGTAGACTATCGAAAAAAATAGCTTAAAGGGGCTAATAATTTTGTCCCTAAAATGGTGTTTAAAAAATTAAAAACTGCTTTTATTCTAGCTGAAATAAAACAAATAAGACTTTCTCCAGAAGAAAAAACTATTATCAGACATACTGTGAAAATTTCCTTGCTCTGTATAACATCATTTAGGAAATATATAAAAATAAATAAATAAAAAATTCAAAGGGGGGCTAATAATTCTGACTTCAACTGTATATCAAAATATATAGTGCAAATTCTGATAATTCAATCAAAATTAAAAGCTTATAGCCATTATTATATATATATATATATATATATATATATATAATATATATATCGTTTTTAAAAACGGATGATTTTATACATGAATATTACAAATATCTTTTAAATAAAAGCAACATTACAACTTTCCCACAATGTTGTTTCTCTCTGCATCCCTATAACATTACGCTCATATAAATTCAGAAAATAATTTACCATACACAATTTATTTTGCAACACCACATAATAAACAATATAGTTTAATATTAAAGGATAGACTTTATATTGTGGTAAGGCTGTGAAGTATGACACCATATATTGGATTGACAAAATATAGAGTCAGATAACCAAATATTTCCTGATTTCTGGTTAGAAACCTCAATCCGCATCAACGTCTCGATGACAGAGCAGAATAAGACACGATTGCTTTTAAAAACATCTTTTTTAATAAGGTGCTAAAAATCTTTGACATGTATTGACACATGGACAGGGCCACGTCGCCCCTGCAGTGCCTCTCACCGTTAACATTACAGTGACAGAACAGGGCACAAGCACATCACAGTGAACAGGAGGACACAACAAAGGTCACTGTTAATTAAGGCAACGAATGTTAACCACAGCTAAAAAGAGAGAGCCGTTCTGTACAGACAAAAGTGATTTGCATGCAGGAGAACAGAACCGTCTGCATCAAACATTAAGCTTCTGATTTCCACCAATAACCGTCAATCAAATCACCCCTAAATCCAACAGCAGTCTGAGATTTGTATACGTCTCAAGCTGGCAAATTTTGATTTTCACAGCAAAGTCGCATGCAACTAATGCAGTCCAGATGGGCTCCATTTTTATAGTGAAAATGCAGGTGGAGAAAAACACCGGGGGTTCATATGTTCAGAGGGGAGAGGAAGTATTGCACTCGACGTTGCATGAGGTTACGCCACAAATCACGAAAGGCTACCGAACATGGCTTTTTATTGCTGGCGAAGTGTTGTATCGGTCCAGCAAGTCCACGTTTAAGCGCTCTTCTGCAACAGTATTCAAACCTAAATTAACCAAAACAATCCCTTTTGACAACATTAGTGTATTAATCCCTAAAATTAGTTATTAAATCACATTTAAAACATGACCGCTTGCATAAAAGTCTATAAAACGGGTAAAAGGCTCACCCAATGTGCGCATGCTACAGCTACAAACTAGGCCGTCACACGAGAAGACGACGAACGTTTAATAAAACAGATCCCTCGTCATGTAAACGATGACCACAGACACCTTGGGAAAACTTTTCACAGCCACGAGTGAATTATCCTTTGCATAATATGGGCTGACAAGGAAAACGAGAAGACTGGAGGAGCACGGCACATGCCACTTATTGACAGACCTATCACAGGTCAATTAAAGCTTGGATCCCACAGGCTGTTCACAAGTGACACTACAGCCCTAAGAGGTCCCCGGTCTGCAGACAGCCGCCAGACAGCTAATTGAGCTTGTCTATAATTATCCATTACGCTACCATTACATGTGGTGAGAGCACTTGAGTCGCCATCACTGCAAATTGTGCCTGTATCTCTATGCAATGGAAGTCCCTTATTTTGTGCCATTATGTAAACACAAAAGTTCCACAGATCACTTTTAAAAAATGCTAATAATAAAAAGTACACAAAAAAAGGGATGCATCCAGAAGGTCAAGTAGAAAGGTCAATATCTATATGTCTATCCTCTTTAGTTAGATCTCGGGTTCCCACTGTTAAGTTATGATGCTAACACAACGCACCACTGCTGGTCGTATATTTCACAATTACATCTTATAAAACCAAAAAAAACCCCAAAAAAAACAGAGATCCATAAAAGTGAGCGTCAAGCTGTGTGCCCTTTCTCTGCACTCTGCTGGAATATAGTGCCCATATAGGAAACAAGCACTTCAGTTTTCTTCTTCTTCTTGGAAAAAAAAAACCCTCTTTCGGTGCTCAGACAGAGACAAAGACATCCAAATAGAGGCGGTCGTAAGATTCCCTGAAGAGGAGGAGGAGCAGGAGACTGAAGATGCAGGATCCTGTCAGACACCAGTTCAACCAGGACAGCTCTGAAAAACAAAATAGCAAGGGTGATCGGGGTTAGTGATGCCAGTCTGAGTCATGGGCTTGAATGCATTATGGAACACACATGGGTTTAGAATATTTTTGAAAATGAGCAAGTACAGAACATGAAGTAAGGTTATTATGTGCACAGTCGCAAGTTGAGGAGGCTTTCATATTTGAAGCACTCACTGTTATACTATTATTCGTAACATCAGGAGGTGACTGTTGTTACAACGTTATTGTGAATAACTGCCATGACAAAACAGTGGTGAAAAAGAATAAGTTGCTCTAGTAATTATTGAATTGTATGTAAAATAAATGGGTTGTAGATATATTGGGAGTACACTCACGAAAAATGATAACTGTGCTTTTAGTACAGTTGCGTAAATTAGTAATTTAGGATATATTGTATGCATCCAAGTGGACAGCATGCTTAAAGCAAAATGACAAATATACTAAAATGAAAACAGAATTTACAGTGCTCAGCATATACAAGTACATGCATCACAAATCTATCTTTTAAATCCTTATTTTTAATAGGAAGCTATACAATATTATATTTGTGCATATACATTATATTAGTCAGAACTGAAGCCGAATCTGGAGCTTATCTAACAAAATAACTTATGATAATGGTCCAAAAACGAACACACCCAAATTTATATGTTATAGAAAATAATTAAATACAAAGTGAAAAATTTGTTGAAATTTTGTAGGTTGTAATCTTTATTGGAATATTTATTTGTACTATCTTTCAATTTGACTTGAATGGGGTATACTAAATTATGCTGAGCACTGTACTTACAAAATCACGGACAAGTGCACAAAATATAGGAATTGTTGTTCTTCAAAAAACAAAAACAACAACAGAAACAACAACAACAACAACAACAACAACAACAACAACAACAATACAATAAAAAGGACATCAGTTGTTTTGAAATTCTGAAGATGAGGCACATTCATCATATTGGCCCGACTTTTCTCCAAGTCGTGTGTCTGGATGCACAACTGCGCTTAAAGGGAGGTGTCGCGGGGCAATGAGGGGAGGAAGGGAGGGGGGGGGGGTCGCTAGGTGATTTCTAAAACTCTAATGGATTTTTCTATAATTGATTTTTTAGGGGTTTATTTACCTTTATTATGATATGACAGAAGAGATTTCAGACAGGAAACACTGGGAGCAGAGAAAGGGGAAGGATCGGCAAAGGACCTTGAGCCGGGAATCGAACTCTGGTCGCCATGAGCACGTCAGTGCTATATGTCTGCGCACATTATTTTTCTATTGGATTGCGACCCTTGGGGTGATTACATATATTAATGACACAGCAATAGCGTCAAATGCAGCAGACTGATTTTATGGCATCAGGTTAAACTTTAACACATTTACAGCACTCACATACATTTAATAAAATTAAACGCAGAATAGACTTGGGCCTATTGATCGGTGTGTGCTGTTCTATGCAAGGTTTCTATATTTATAAGCACCTCAGAGAATATCAGGGGTCGTGAGTCACTGGCATTATCATTTTGGGGGCTTCAGGCTGAAAAGTTTGGGAACCATTGGTCTAAATGACGTCAAGTGTACTTAAAGCTAACTTACCAAATGATGTCAAGATTGCCATACACCCAAGCTAACTTGTAGATGGGTTGCTATAGCGCAGAATATTGACAGTACTAAATTCATAGATAATGCATCTGAAAATACTAGCCCACTCTACAGCAATGTTAATTTCACTTCCATGTTCCTGCTGTGCTTGACAGTTGGTCAGTGTGGCATTTCTACAGCATTAAACGGTGTTGAGATGACTTTCGATTGCAAAACTGTAAATCTGTTCTTCAGTGTATGTGTTACTTGATGAATTCTGCCCTTCAGTTAAGTTCTTTTTCCTTAATCAATAATCCAACCAAATCTAATTGACAAAATAAATGCTTTATATAATAAAATAACCCCCAACTGTTTTTTTTTTCGTTTTTACTACACAACATTTCACACCGAACTTCCAAAACTTCAGACATAAACATGCAGAACACAGCCTTTCGTTTCTTTCTGACCAAACCATATACCTGGTCATGCTCTAAAAACCACAGGCAAATAGACTGTAGAAACATAACATAATAATAACTATCTGAAACACGTCAAGAGTGTGTGAGATAGCAAAGACACACACAGTTTCCTACAGTCACTTTTTTCCTTTCAATGGCCAGTAAGAGTTACCAGAGGTTTTACAACAAGATTGAAGGTTAAACCAGTTCTTTCACACCCACTGTATATGATGAATACCAAGATGCATTTTAAAAGGACGACACCAAAGCAGGATGCAAGAGCTGTGCAAACACATTCAGTGTTGACGTATACAGCAGCGATTCAATAGATGAAAGCCTCACACCAGCTGCTGAGGCTCTGATAGAGCGCCGGGTTGAATATAACATAAACCAGGTCAAACACACAGACCCCTGAGGACAAAGGAAAGAGCGCAACTTAATTTAATAGAGAAGTGGATTTCAATTTCAAGTCGTCCCGTATCCAGATAACAGGTTGATCAATTGCCCCTGAAGTGAGAGCTGCAATCGATGGCAGAAGGTGAAATGCATGCTGGGTCAGCCGCTGAGCCCATTTGGGCTAAATTATATGATTTAGCCATGCAGCACAGTCAACACACGCAGGACAGAGCCGTGTCGGCCTGGAAGAAACGGGGAAGTGGGGATTCTTTCCAAAGGCCCCTCATTAATCAGCCTTTACTAGCCCTTCAACAGCGCTTGGTACAGCGGCAGGTTAATGGAGTTGTGTTTATCTGGCTATTATGTCTGTGGCGCACGCTTGCCCCAGCTTCATCAATTTAAAACAGAAAGGTAGCATCAGCAGGCGGGATGTCTGTGGCGAATGTTAATAAAGAGAGCGGCTCGGTGCAGGTAATCCAATCAGACTTGACTCCCATCGAAAATCCACGAGTCATCGAAAATGTTATTTTCGTCAATGAAAACTGAGACAAAGACTAAAGCTACTGGTGAAAACCATTTATGTTAGCTAAAAATAATAATAATTAGAAAAAAAAAATAAAAAAAAATGCTATGCTTCAGAATTAAGAAGTACTTGTCCTGTGGCAGAAAACCCCAAAAAAGATATGGTATTTTTAACGGGTCAAACAAAGTCATCAATTCTGATTTTAATTTATTCCATGTGCTGATAAATGGGAAAAGCAGTCGCTGTTCAGAATATCTGCTCTCTTCAGAATAAATGCATAATCTACAGCCACAACATGTAAGATCTTTATTAATAATGAATGTGACTAAAACAAAAAAGGCCCTGTACAATGTTTTGACATTTTCAAGAGCATGTTTATTGCTCCTCTGTGACAAAATCTTAGGATTTTAGCTCTGATCTTTACAGGATATTCTTTTAGTATAATGAATTCTTTTTATCAAAAGCTCAAGTAAAAAATGAGATCTCAGTTCATGACCCCTTTAATATAAGCTGTGCCAAGATTAATCTTTGTTTTGGTCTACAGCAGAAGGGTTCTGTTAGCGCTGCTAGACTACAACTACTTAAACTAAAACTGAAAACAAATATATACAAACTAAAAAAGAATGAGTTCCGAAAGTAAAAACTAAACTAAAAATAAGAAAACTATAAAGAAAACTAACCAAAATCTAAACTGAAATTTACAGCAAATGTAAAAAAATGTATTGGAATAAAAACAAATAATAATAATAATAATAATAATAATAATAATAACTTTCTAACTACTCTCTCTCTCTTTTTTTTTTGAAGGACATTCTGGGTTTTTTAAAGACCACAGAGAGTCAGGACCTTGGTTTAACGTCTCATCTGAAAGACAGTGCGGACTGAGCAGTAAAGAGTCCCCTTCACTATACTGAGGCGTAAGGACCTACACAGACCACAGGTTGAGTGCCCCCTGCTGGTCTCACTAACACCACTTCTGACAGCAACCTAGCTTTCCCTTGGGGTCTCTCATCCAGGTACTGACCTGCTTAGCTTGAACTTAAACTATAATACACCACAATTCAAAAGTTAGGGTCAGTAAGATCTGTAGAAAGAAAACAATTCAGAAAGGCTGTATTTATAAAATGTAATATATAATAATTAGTAATACTGCTAAATATTATTCAAAAGTAAATTCTTTTATATTGTTTTATTATTAAAAAATACAACATTACTGTTGTGGCAAATCTAAATTTATATTAGGCAAGTCACATGAAGATTTGATGCTCAGTTTTTACATGTCATCAATTTTAATAAAATATGGGCAGCTTAATTTAAATTTTTTTTTTTTATGAGAGCTTTGTTGTTTTACTTTTTTAGCAGGATTATTTGATCAATACTAAGCTCGTATAAACATTTAATTGCAATCAGCCTTCAAATCGTACTTCAAATTGACTAAAAACAAAAACATTATAACCTGGTCATCAACAGTCCCCTTTCCATAGCTAACGCAAGACAGAACATTGAACATGGTGCTCAACCTTTCCCCCGGCAAAGCTCCACTATGGAGAATACAAAAGACAGGTTAAAGGATTCGATTTTGCCCTCCTTGGCAATAATGGGAGCACGGCAATTATATCCTGCCTGTCGGTTTACACAGCAGTCAAACTGTTATGTCGTATTTCCTTCCCCTTAATACCTGACGGCAGAATGCAGAGATGTTGTTATTAAGGGTGCAATTTAGCCTGTCTCTTTTCTGCCATCGTCTTGGGGGCCGTAATGCACTGAAAAGGCCACGATGGAATGACAGCGTAAACAGGCCACTCACGCTGACGCTCGCAATCTCTTACACGAGGAGCATTGGGACAAAAGCAGTGATAAGGGAAGGGATGAGAGGAAACAACCGCTCGGCCCGATGTCTTCTCCCTCACCCACAGGACTCTTCGCTTCTGTCAGGCGTCTGAGACGGTCCTCTTATTGCTGTAATTATTCTTAATCGCTACCCATTCAGCTGGCAGACTGATGGCATATTTCAGCTGGGTTTAATGTCTCGCTTTGGCCCCA